GTTACTTTCTGGATACAACTTTCTTATGACCTCTAATGTCACCTGTTTTCTCCAGTTTGCAGTTCGATTCAGGGAAGCTATTAATTGATCTATTTCATTTTGGTTGGCCTTACGATCGACGCATTTAAAAATAATAATAATGTACTTTTATCTTTGACATGCCAATAAAGGTTGTCTGTCTGTATTCTTAACCTCATAGAGGTTTTGCCCAAATACTGCCTGTCACCGCATGATGATGTCACTTCTTGTGGGATACCAGTGACTTGGCCTGGGCCTTCCTCTTTCTCCTGATAAGTATTAAGATTCTCTGGTTTGGTATAGCCAAGAATCACTATTAAGGTAGCAGAGCACACAAAGGCTTACCATGCAGCAAAGCTTTTCCCATCTGGGTGTGTGCTGCTAAAGAACAAAGTTGCATGGAGCCTCTTTAAAGTTTCAAACTAATAAAAGGAGTTTATTATATGGAACGCCACTCTAGATAGAAAAGCTTAGAGATAGGATAGCAACCTGATCTAACTGGTTAGGATGGATGGGGATACAGGAACACGCCCTGCATCCATGTTGCCAAGGTGGAGAGAAGGGCAATGTGTACGAGAGAGATGTCAAGCTGGAAGGAAGGAAGTTGGTCTCTAAGAATAGCAATCTACTTCAAAAAGATAGTATCATACAGCAAGAAGGAAAGGGTGCTCTGTGTGTCCTGACCTATCATCTGTCTGTCTGTCTATCTTCTTCATCATCATCATCATCATCATCAATAATCTTCTATCATCTATCATCCATCTAAGGGTGAATCTGCATTGGCTTTCCCCTCCGTTGTTTTACCAAACCCACGTTGGAACAGAAATTCCCCTCTGCATTGCATGCCACTTTCACTTTCACTTTTATCATTGGGTTTTATGGTACCCTCTGCATAGATTTATGGCTGTTCGGGGGTGACTTTGCAGTCAGTACGGCGTTGCCCGGGGGTATCTGAATGTGGTTTTGAGCTGCACCTTTGGTAAAACAATGGAGGGCAAAGCCAATGCAGAATCACCCTAAGTTTATGGTGCTGTCTCTGAAGTCTGAGGCAAGAGACAACGTGCAGTCTTCCACTTCCAGCGAAGAATCCCCCCCCACACACACACACAAATCCCCTGCCGGCTGCCAGGAAGGACCTGGTAACCCTGGATACAAATGAGCTGTTTTCTGAAAAGAGATTGCCGCCTTCTCTTGCAGCGGACATGCTGAGATGGAGGAAGGCTGATCAGTGGCTCCTGGAGAAGTGCATCGGTGGCAGCAGAGGGATGTGGCGCTTCCGTTCTTTCATGCAAGGAATGGCAGGTGAGGAAGGCAGCAGGCAGAAGCCACGAACGGAGCCCGGCAGCCAAACGCTGAGCGCAGCACGAGCTTTGAGTGTACTGTGTGGTGGTAAGAGTGTAGGACTACGCAGACCCGGGTTCAGACCCCCCCCCCTCTGCTATGGAAGTTCACTGGGTGACCCAGGGCCAGTCCCTCTCTCTCACAGCCTAGCTGGCCTCGCTGGATGGTTTCTGTGAGGGGAAAATGGAAGAAGGGAGAATGATCTTGTCAGCTGCTTTGGGGTCCTCATGGGGGACAGAAGCGGGGGACAAACGTCCCAGGTTCAGTCTCCTGTTAAGACATCTCAGGAAGCAGAAGTGGGAAAGATTTCTTCTGCTGCTCTTAACCACCTCACCAAACTGGCACTCGCTGACGCATAAGAGCGGCTAGTGGGCCGCATCACTCAACCTTAATTTAGGCTCACTGTGTAATTTTGATAAAGCCACTATAGTTTTTTCTAACCCATCTCTCAAGGTTCTTTTGAGATATTTGTCTATTTACTTTACTCGTACCCAGGGACTTATAGTGGGAGAGGGGCTCCGGTTATACTCTCTTGCCCAGAGCCTACAAAATCCTGGAATTGGCCCTGGCTGGACTACATGGTCCACGGGTCTGGATTCAGGATTAGATCCTCCTTATATTTTATCTTTACTTCCCAACATTAATCTGAGAGCCACTTTGGTGTAGTGGTTAAGAGCGGCAGACTAGAATCTGGAGACCCGGGTTTGATTCCCCACTCCTCCACATGCAGCCAGCTGGGTGACCTTGGGTCAGTCACAGTTCTGTCAGAGCTGTTCTCTCAAGAGCCGTTCCAAATCCAAAGCCTTTTATTGGCATATAAATAAAGATACAGTAATCTAAATACAAAATCATGCAGAGTAAAATTAAAATTCCAGAGAAACATCACAGAGTAACATCATAATAAACCTAATTCATAATATCACTTATCAGGCCGTAGGACCATGGCACTGCAGAGAAACTTTGCTACTATTTCAGTTATTTCTGTATCTGGATTATCGAGCAAGACAAGGAGTTTAAAATCATCAGGGGTCTCTAAAAATTGGCCTAAATTGGCAGTTCTCTCAGAGCTCTTCTCAGCTATGCTGCGGTATTGTTTATTAGCCTAGAGTTCGCCTGCCTGACCTGTAATCTTCTATATCATTGTATGCTTGTTCCATGCTCGTCATTCCTAACAGTGACCATGTTATTGCAACCGTAGTACTGACAATAAAGCAAAACCTTTCTTGGAAGTGTGTGCTCCGTTGTTTGGCTGTGGGTCCTGACAGCTCTCAGCCCCTCCTACCTCACAGGGTGCCTGTTGTGGGGACTGCTTTGAGACTCCAAGTGAAGGGTGGGCTATAAATCTAATCTCCTCCTCCTCCTCTTCTGCTTCTACTGCTGCTGCTGTTTTTTCTTCTGCTGCTGCTTCTGTTTCTTCTTCTTCCTCTTTGTATTAATATATTTAAGCACCTGATATACAAATGTGCTGCTTCACTGTAGCTGAAGACAGACATAATACAGAAAAGAGGACTCAAAGTAAATCCTTCAGCTTTGTTAAACAAAGCCTGGCTTTGTTCCACTTTGCAATTCATAAAATGGCTGTAGGAGCCCCAAATTAAACACTAATTCTTCTGTCACTCTTATCATTTCCTCCCCACCTTACATTAAATGAGCTGTCCACCTTATTTTTCTAGAGCCCAACATCAATGCATATTAGTTTATGCATCCATCCTTTAACATTAAAAATGTATTAAAAGTAATCTTTAAAAAATGCTCTAGAGATTGGTGTTGAGTGTAGGGTTGCCAGCTCTGGGTTGGGAAATACCTGGAAATTTAGAGGGTTGGGCCTGGGGAAGGTGGGGTTTAGGGAAGGGAGGGATGTCAGCCAGGTATAATACCCTAGGGTAGTGGTGGCGAACCTATAGCATGGGTGCCAGAGGTGACACTCAGACCCCTCCCTGTGGGCACGCGTGCCATCGCCCCAGCCAGCCCAGGCCATCATTAAAGTGTCAAATTCTCTGCCAAATAATTTTAAGTAAATGAAAGCATTTGGGATTGCTTTCCTTACTTTGTTTGGATCATCTTAAGTTAATGTATGGGTTGTTTTTTCTAAAGTAAAATCTCAGTATTCAGGTTAAATTGCTGTGTTGGCACTTTGCGATAAATAAGTGGGTTTTGGGTCGCAGTTTGGGCACGTGGTCTCTAAAAGGTTCGCCATCACTGCCCTACAGGGTCCACCCGCCAAAGCAGCCATTTTCTCCAAGGGAGCTGATCTTGATCGTCCGGAGATCAATTGTAATAGCAGGAGATCTCCAGGTGCCACCTGAAGTCTGGCAACCCAAGTTGAGTGAGGTTCACAGTGTCACGGGCACTATCCTGTAAATGGAACCCGCAGCAAGTTTCTCCTGCAGACTTATAGAGCCCCCCCTTTTTTCCTGGTGCTTCATCCTAGCAAAGAAAAGGTATATTTGGACTGATTGCAGTGGGTGTGCTTCCATACCAGGCCGACTGATCTGTAAATGTTACGTCTATCTTCATCTTACTAGATGTTGCATCTCTTTTTTTTGAATTTTTTTATTAGCTTATATACAGAAAGGGAGGAAGCGGAAAGGAGGAAGAAAAGAAAAATACAGAAATATTTTAAAATTCCAATTTAAATGCATGCATATCTTCTCATTACAATTTCACAACTACTTTTTTTTAAAAAATAATTTTCATTTTATTAAAGTTTCATTAAAATACATTCAAAACGTAACAAAACAGATATTAACACATCATAATTACAGTTTAGACCAAAGTCAGTATTTCTATCCAACAACACTATTAACCACTTTACATCATACCATTAGATCCATACTTTCAGCTTAACTATTCAATGAGAAATAATCAGTTTGAATTCTAAATAGTTTGTAATATTAATTTTATGAAAATTTGTATGTCCCACCATCAATTGAACAAAAGGTGACCACTTTTTCATAAAATTTAGTTTATGGCTTTCATAATTTTGATTATCCAATTCCGTTGTGATTTTATCAAAAATAAAATAATCCCATGTCTTGTTAAACCGTTCTTGTAATGTAGGCATCTCAATACTTTTCCATTTAGCTGCCAATACTGTCTTTGCTGCTAGAAACATGGTTGCTATTAAGTCTTGCTGAGATTTAGGTATCTTAACTTCATCCCATGAGTTTAAACAATTTCACAACTACTTCATCTATAATTTCACAACTACAATTTCACAACTACTTCATCTATCATTCTTGTTATTCTTCACTCGATTCTTATTTTCCTAATACTTACGTTTTAACCAGTCATAGAACGCCCTCCAGGGTCCCATAAATTCTTCTTCCATTTTTTTTTTAAATATATTTGTCAACTTGTCCATTTTAACACATTCCATAATCTTCAATATCAACTCACGTAGCATTGGAATCTTCAATGTCCTCCATGCCATTGCAAATAAAATTCTGGCAGCTGTTATAACATGTAAAATAAAATACCTGTGATTCTTGTCTAACTCATCTGGTAGACAATTTAGCAAAAATATCTCTGGCTTGCAGATCTTGCATCTTCAGTGATTTCCCCATCTCTCCTCTTTAGACTGTAAGCCCAAAGACAAGGCCCTCATGTTTTTTATTGTTTTATGTGGTCTCCCAATTTACACAGGCACTCTAGAATCAATAATAATTTTATATCCATAGAGATTTTGGCAGTTATCACTGGGAAATGCAATTCAAGGTTGATCCTAATTTTCTTTTCCTAAAAATATTTTTTATAACTTCATTTAAAACATTGACTTCCTCCCCTCTCAGGGCATCCCAGGATGGCTAGCTGCTGGAATCAAGGTGCTAGGCCAACTCTCAGGTTTTGTGCAGAACTGGTCATTTGGGGTCGTGCACAACTAATAGCTCTGGCCTTATGTCTGATCCACAGGGGAAGAACTGACCAAATTCTGGCTGGCTGCAGAAAGGATACTGGGTATTGACGAAATGGATGAATCCCAGCAAGATCTCTACGTGTCGCTCTTCCAGGTGTTGATGGCCACTCACTTGCAGCAGGGCTCCGTGGTTGTCACCCTCTGTAACACGACCATTGGTAAGATGCGCAGCTTCATAGACAGTAGTACTGGACACCGAGAGCAGTAGCAGACTGGGCCTTTGACTCACTGGGAAAAGTTCCCAGTGGGCCACTACCCTGGAGGGGCCACTGGCAGCCAGGAGCAAGCTGAGCACCGTGGTCCCTGCAGTGCTGGCAGTGCAACAGGGTTCACTCCACTTGGATTTGGCTACGGCATCACTGACAACAGGTGTAGGCTCCTGTTTCAACATCCCAATCTACCTCTGGCTTTGAGACAGTTGGCAGTGTGCAGCATCTATTAAACTATTTGTAACCCTCAATAGTTTAATAGATGTAGCCCAAAGTACCTACACCGATAGAGGAGTCTCTCTGCTGCATCTGTCCGTGATTTGCTGCAGAATTAAACCGTGCTTAGTAGGCTGTCCATTATGTCTCTGCATGAGATGCTGTGCTGGGCTTGCCTCGTTCCAATGAGAATGGTGTAGCCAAAGGTTAAGAGACTGAGCTCTTCTGAGAACAGTAATCCTGACCTGCTCTGAAAGTTAAGCTTTCCGAGTGTCGCAGTGAAGTATGCTTTCATTTATAATTCAGAAACCATGTGATCCTCAGCTATCAGAAGTTTGGGACACACTGGGTGATGTAGTGTTGGTGGTGGAGAGTGCCCTCCAGTCACAGCTGACTTATGGGAACCCTGGGAGGTTTTCAAGGCAAGAAACATTCAGAGTTGGTTTGCCATCGCCTGCCTCTGTGTTACAGCCCTGGTATTCCTTGGAGGTCTCCCATCCAAATACTAGCCAGGTCCGACCCTGCTTAGCTTTCAAGTTCTGACAAGATCTGTCTAGCCTGGGCTATCCAGGTCAGATGTAGTGTTATATACCTGCATACCACTTTGAATCTACAAGTCTCTCTCTGTCTCTCTCTCTATATATATCATCTATCCGTCCGTCCGTCCGTCCGTCCGTCTATCTATCTATCTATCTATCTATCTATCTATCTATCTATCTATCTATCCTTTTAGACCACCCTGCCCGCAAGGCCATTTACAACAAGGTAAAAACAGTAGAAAATTAAATTAGGCTAAAATCATAATAACATAACATACAATCAATATAATCAATATATAAAGCTGTAAAGATAGTCTGTTCCAAGATGGCAAAAATTCTAGAAAAGATTGCAGCTTTTCCTGTCGCCTCCTAAGGGGGTAGAGGAGGGGAGATGAGAGGTATGGAAGTGGCAGGGTGGTCAATGTCCCGTCGCTGTCCTCAGCCAAAGGCCTGGTACAACATCTCTGCCTTACAAGCCCTGCAGGAAGGTAATAAATAAATGTTGCAAAGAAAGGTGGTATAGAATTGTATAGAAAATAAATACAGGACTCAAGGTGCGTTACAACGATAATACAAACAACACACAATTGAAAATCCATTAAAAGGCCTTCATAGCTCAAACTCTCGTCAGAAACATTTAAATGGCTGTGTCAATGCCCGCATGAATAGGCTTGCCTTACGCAAGTTACAGCATCTCATGGAAGCTGGCTATTCCATAGAACGGGAGCAGCCACTGAAGAGAGCCTCAGATCCAGCAGGGGCCATTCCAACTCCTTTGCAAGAGGGAAGAACTAATAGGTGTCAGGCTGAGCTGTCATACGTAATGAAGCCCGCCCGATATTCATGGGAAGCCTCCCTGGTCATCTGGAACAGCACTGTTTCCTTTCCCTGAATCCTGACTCTGAAGTTGTTTGTTTCTAATTCTGTACCCTCTTTCCAGAAACACTTTTGAGGATGTCTCCCTCTCACCCCAAGCACGTCCAGACGCGAAGGGAAGTCCTGAGTGAGATGCAGAAAGTGGCCCTGTTCAAGATCGAAAGTTACTGGCTCCCAAACTTCTACATCCACTGCAAGCTGAGCATGGAGCAAGAAACAACGTGCTCCCACCTGCTCAAGGAGTATCGAGAGCGGCTGTGCACACTCACGTTTCCGAGGCCCTTTCTCTTTCCCCTGCCGACGATGAGCATCCGGGAAAGCAGCATCACATCGCTGGCTTACTCTAGTCTGAAAAGGAAGAAGGATGTTTGGGATCGGGTCACAGGCAAAGGTCCTCTGAAAAGGAGAGCGAGACGTAAAAAAGAGAGCCACGGACACCACCACAGGAGGTCCGCATCATCCAAGGCCAGTTCGACGGACAAGAAGCATCACTTTTCTGAAAAACAGACCTCTAGTGCAAGAACGTGGCAAACGGATCACGCCAATGAACGAAACACAGGTGACAATTCCAATGAATCACCGAGCTTCAAAAGCATCCAGAGCAAGCTGCTCACCCCTCCCGGGCTGGATGAAATTCGTGAGAGGAGCACCGTCACAAAACTCCGCGCTTCCACCCCTGTGGTCCAGTTCCCTTCCATGCTGGCCTTAAAAACCATAGTCAAGTCTCCGTTGTCCTTAGAATTCCTTCCTTGGGTGCTCAGCGCCGACAAGTGTGCGGGATGCCCCTTCCGGGAGTTCTTGCTCAGTAGGAATTATGCCGTAGAGGTTCACCTCCTCGACCTCTGGCACGACCTCGAAGATTTTCTGCGCATGATGATGTGCTCTCTTGGGGAGGGTAATGTCCTCTTGCGCCACGTGATGGGCGAGCGGATCTGCGAGCTGTACCTGACGCAGAACAGCAACTGGCACCTTCCTTTGAAGCTGACGACTCTCAGGGGGTTGCAGAGTCTCCTGCCGTCTGGAAATGTGATACCCTGGGTGATAAAGGCACAGAAGGAAATCTGTAAGGTGGGGGATTCTTCTGGCTTTTCATGAATATTAATATAGAAAGCCAATCTGAAAATTCTCAAATTGCCCTGGACAGCAGTATTTACTAGGGGTTCAGTATAAGGCCTGTGTGCCAACTGGGGCTACCTCCTCAACTATTTTCAGCTCTCTGGTGAAATTTCAAAGGTACGCAGCCTGGTCCTTCCTCCCTGTAGGAACATCAGTGCCCTTCCCAAACCCTGTCGCAAGTAAATGTTGGACAATGGGCTTTAGTGTGCAAACTCTTATGCTGGAATTTTAAAAATCAACTGTGAGGTTCTTGCTATTTGGGGAAACGGTTTTACCTTGAAACATGCTTTGTGTACCTAAACTTGGTAGATTTCTGCTGCCACCAGGAATTAAAAATTCCAAATCTCTCTCTCTGCTAGTAGAATGACCTAGGGTCTGGGCACTTCAGAGGACTATGTGACCTTTAGGAACTACTGTACTGATTTCTGGGATAAGTTTAAACAAAAAATGATTTAGTTAATAAAGAACAAAAATAGGTTTCTCGTTATTTTGAACAGTTGCTGACAAAAGGAACTTGTAAATATAACTGGCAAAGCTTGGTGCTACAAACAGTCTCTCAAACTCCACTCTAACAGGCTAGTCTGTTTGTTTTATTCACACTGAGTAGAATCAACTCTCTTAGTCACACAGACTGAACTGTTGGTCTTATTCACTCAGAAATAGACCCCAAATCCTATAATCACACAGACTACGTTCACTCTTCAAACTTCACACACAAAATCCTTCATAACTCTCAGAGTCACACAGACTCTCTTCAAAACTCTCCCATACTTGTTCCAGGGGTCATTTTGTAGAAAAAGAGGTGCAGAAGCTCATTAGCGTAACTCATTAGCATAACTTATTTGCATATGCCACACCCCCTGACATCACTGGAAGTGTGTCAGAAGGCAACACCCACCACTCAGGCTCCACTCCACAGGTGAGTGAAACTGACCCGCTCTACCTCCTCCTAATCCTCTGCTGCCAGCAGGAACAGCTCCCTGCCCTCCTCTAAGTGACAGCCCTTCAGATACTTCAAGAGAGCAATCGTGTCCCCCCTCAGCCTCCTCTTCTCCAGGCTGAACATTCCCAAGGCCTTTCCTCATAGGGCTTGGTCTCCAGGCCCCTGATCATCCTCCTCGCTCCCCTCTGCACCCGCTCCATTCCGTCCACATCCTTTTTGAAGTGAGGCCTCCTGAACTGCACACAATACTCCAAGTGTGGCCCAACCAATGCAGTATACAGCAGGACTATGACATCTTGTAATTTGGATGTTAAGAACTAGTTTTCTCTCTCTTTTTCCCTCCTATTTTGCATTTGACTATTTTTCCTTTTCCGTTTTAGTTTTCATTGTTTTGTGATAGTGTGTGACAGACTGGCAGCCTGCAAGCGGCATCTTTCTTCTGAAGTGGAGAGAACCCTTCAGGCTGTGTTGTCACTCTCTTTCTAGATCCTGTGCTTCCTCTACGAAGAATTCCTGCAGCACGATGACAAGATGTTCCTGTTCTATGTGGTAAGGTGCACCTGCAGATGCAGCAAGGGGCCCACTGGCTATCCCTGTCCTTGAATCTGCCAAGGACTTGGAAGGGACTGTGGCTCAGCAGGAGAGCCTCTGCTTTGCACGCTGGAGGTCCCAGGTTCAGTTCCCAACATCCTCAGTTAAGAGGCTCAGGGAGTGGATGATGGGGAAGACCTCTCTGCCTGAGGTCCTGAAGCGTCAGACGAGACGATGCTGACTGTGACTGAGATACAATAATGACTCTGACGTTTTCTACACAAACGGCTCTCCCCGCTCTATTCCTTCACCTCATCAGGTGGTTTCCACAGTGGCATTTGCAGTCTGAGATGCAAAAAACGAGGTTTGTCTTCCTTGTGGTGCAGCATCAGACTTCCCCGTTTCCAGGAATTCTGTTGCTGCGCCACAAGAGGGAGCAAACCTCGTTTTTGCATCTCAGGCTGCAAATGTCATTGCGGACACCAGCTTGACAAGGCGAAGGAATAGAAATGCAAGAGCGGGGGAGAGCCGTTTGTGTGGAAGACGTCTCTGACTGTGAGATCCAGCATGGAGTAGTGGTTAGAATGTAAGGCTGGGATCTGGGAGGCCCAGGTTCGAGTCCTCCTCACTCTGCCATGAAAGCTTGCTGGGTAACCTCTTCACCTAGGGACCAAATGCCTCCAACCCTTAGAAAGCAACCAATACCTAGGAAAAGTGTAGGACATCTGACTTCAATGTGGACATTTATTCCAGACTTTATTGTTATGTGAGATTGTTATTCTGGACTTTGTTCTTTCCCTTTGGGATATTATGAATTTGTGTATTGTCCTATGATGGATTACATGCATTGAATTACTTATTGTATTGAAGTCTCTTTTCTATAGCTCTTGGGTGGGTTGGTCAGTGGACAGTTGTTATTTATTGGGGGGTTTTGGTCCTTGTTTACTGTGGATTGTATTGTAGTGTTGTTGGGTTTTTTGCTGGTTTAGTATAAGGCAGCTTTATGTATGACCAAAAAGGAGCCATGTCAAAGATTGGTTTGGTTTTTTTTAACGGTGCTGGAAAAGGCTGCTATTAGCTGGCCAGTTTGTGATTTGGGTTTGGGGAGGGAGAACCTGCCATTTCCCCACAGTTTCCAGCATAGCAGGCGTTCACACATGAAACGACAGCTCCATTTCCCAGAGAACTGGTCAGCCTTGCAGCCCCGCCTCAGCGAGAAGACTAGAATGGTTGGGCTGTAGTCTTTGTTTCCATAGCAAATGTAGGGGAGGGGGAATTATAGATCAGGCTTGACCCTGGCTGCATGTTGTGTGATTGTGATCAGGTAGCCAGCCATTGGCTGCCTGGGTGAGGGCCGCGTCCAACGCTGACCGGGTGCTGAGGCCTAGGAGGTCCCTGAGCAGCCTCTTAGTAGTAGGGCTGAGGCAGGCCTAATGCTAGGGCTGCCAAGTCCCTCTGGGGGCGGATTTCCCCCCACTTTGGAGGCCCGATTTCCGCCCCCGCGGAATCGGGCCCCGGG